GAGGTGTACCAGTAGTTCGGAATAGGAATCCTAGTTCGAACTACCTAGTTCGTGCCCCGTGTAGCCACGCTGCACGGGGTTCGAACCAGCGGGGTTTTAAAAATGGCGCCTCCCCGCTTATGCAAATGAAGCCCGGGAAATTCAAATCCCGGGCTTCATTTGCAAGTGCGGTATGCCAACATTACCCTCCTAGTTCGAACTAGGAGGGTAGTGTAGACATACCCTCAGAGACTAACAAAAATAATAGCATCATGAGCTTTCGTGGACAAAACCCAATTTAGCTCATGGTACTGTATATATTTTTGTTAGTCTCTAAGGTGCACCAGGACTACTCATTGTTTTAAAGTTACAGACTAAGATGGCTACACCTCTGAGCCCAGAAAGTAAGGGTTAGGTGTCTTGTGGCACATGTTCACTGTGATGGCAAGAGACACAAGGACTTTCATCTTCCTAATGCTCCCATGCAGCAACAGAACAATAACCTGTTCTCACGCTTTCTTCTGTCATCTTCTAAAGGGTTGACTGGGGTGTGCCTGTTAATGTGTCACAACTCTAGCTGGGACAGCCCATTGGCAGGTTAGGGCCCACCGTCCCCTTCACTGACTCAGCAGTAAGAGCTTGTAATGGGCACACGTTACACCTTTGGGGAGCAGAAATACAGTAAAAATGAGTCCACATGGAGCCTACATGGAGCTATCGTGCTGTCTGTTAGGATGGGTTAGTGACCCAACATACTGGCTGAACCCTCTGCTCTTTCTGAATAGTTACTATGAATAAGGGTGCAGATTTCACCCTAAGGGTATGTTTAGACTGACGTGTTTTTCTGGGATACTGAAGGTACCCCAGAAAAACTCTGCTGCGTCCAGAGAACGTGTTTGCTCTTCCGCTTTTTTTTGTGGAAGAGCAAACGCACTCTTTCGGGGAGCCCTGTATATCTCGTTCTATACGGAATAAAGGCTCTTCCAAAAGACGAGGCTTTTCTGCCATTTGGCCCCGTCTAGATGGTGTGTCTAGACGGGGCCAAATGGCAAAAAAGACTCTTCCGGAAAAGCTATCGGAAAAAGCTACGCAAATTGCAGAGCGCAATTTGCGTAGCTTTTTCCGACAAAGGACTGTAGTCTAGACCTAGCCTAAATGTGGACATTGAGTCAACTCCATCCCCTCTCTGAAATTAGCTGCCTGAGAAACAGAGAGGAAGGTCGCTGCTCTGCTACAGCAGCATATTCAAAAGGCAAATATACTCCTGCACAGATGCACTTCAAAAGAGCTAAACAGTCAAGGGCAAATTCTGTGCCTCGGGGGACATTAATTTTTTCTTCCTGTCTAAACATATCACTCAACAACGGTCCAACCCTGCATTCCTCCCTCTGCCAAAGCTCCCATTAGACCCTGGAAAGATGAATTTGTTGCAACAACATTGTGTGTGAGGTTAATGTCTCTGCCGAACAATACTGTAGAAAAGAACAAGGAGGTGCCCTGAATCCTATGGTGGAATATTTGTCGTGGGCAGCAGGGTGCCAGGGAGGAAGCCCCAATCATACAAAGCATCCTGTTCATGAATTAATTTGCATAAGCATCCTCTAGGCTCAGGTAAAGCACTGAGTCCTGTGATCTAATTGTATCTGAATAAGACAAAAGCTCAGATCCAGTTTGGGCAGGATCCATCTCTTTGGTGTAAGCCAGGATCTGGGATCTCAAACCTTGCATGCTGAATTGTAATACAACAAAAGAAGCAGTGTTACATAGCCATTTAAACTGTGACATTAGCTGCTGAGAGAACAGGCCCATTATACTACCAAACCTCTCCTTTGTTCTAGCTCGCTGGTCTGTTGACACCCCCAGACATCCAACTGGGAAGGGTGGCCATCTAGTGGCTTGCTGGCTTTACTAAACTAATCTTCACCACCCTTTCCTCATCTACAACAGAAGAAGGCGAGAGAAAGCCTTATGCTACCTTGGTTGTAATATGCCAGAAGCTCTCTGACAAGTCTGTGCACAGTGATAATAGGTAGGTTCTCGCCACAGGACAGTTACTGTGTGTGACTAGAGAGAGATGACTTAACTGGAGACATGCTGCTGCAGAGGGAGCTGAGAAGCTATAAGAACCCAGGCTCCAATCTCCTATGATGCTCTGTCTCCCACCCCCCTCCTTTTTTCTTTCTCTCCCCCATCCCCTTTCCCTCTTCTATTTATTTGGAGTTTTCATATTCCCAACTCATAACTCCCGTCATCTGAAGAAGTGGGCTGTGCCCACAAAAGCTCATGATACAATCTACATCAGTGGTTCCCAAACTTTTCGGCAGCACGCCCCCCTTTTTGATTTGGGAGGAACCCTCATGCCCCTCCCCCCCCCCCGCAAAAAATTATTGTAACTCACCGGGGTCAAAAACCAAAAATAGTAGCAAAACTTAAGGAGGGAATTAACTGGGGGAGCAGGGCTGGGTCGCTTTGTGCCCCCCCTGGAATTTCTTCATGTCCCCCAGTTTGGGACCCCATGATCGACATGTTTTGTTAGTCCATTAAGTGCTACTAGACCATTTGTTGTTTTTTTCTGTAACAGACTAACTCGGCTACTGCCTGAAGCACCTAAACTTTCTGCAAAAACAACAAGAAGGTCCCGTAAAGGCTAACAATTTTATTAGGGCATAAGCTTTCATGGGCGGAGCCCTAATCTATTTGTTAGTCTTTAAGGCGCCACGGGACTCCTCGTTGTTTTGTATGATGTACTAAGAACCTCAGGAAAAGTGCTTGAGTACTTTCAACGCCCCACAGACTCCCAGTGGAGCCAACAGGAGTTAAGAGGCTCCTTTTAAGGAGGGCTTAGAGAACACAAGAATCATACTGAGTGTTGTTTGAGTGGCACATGCAGCGATGAATAGCCTAGAAGAGCCATTTCTTTACGGTGTATTTTATATACAGTAATTCCTCATTTAACACGATAGATGTTTGTGCTAAGCGAAAACGTGCTATGCGGGGCCAATTTTCCCATTAAAAATAATGGAAAAGATGGGGGTTGCATTTTAGGAGGTGGTGGCGAAGTCAATTTTTTGTTGGTGCTGGGTCATCAGCGTCACCATTAGATATCTAGCAACACAAGATATCAAGCAACACAAGTCACTGCAGCTTGTTAAAACACAAAGATTAACTTGTGAGTGAGCGGAGGAGCACAGTGATGACCACATGTATTCATCCGCTCATGCATATTACCACTGTTTTCACCAGCTTATACTGTCGTGCGAAGTAGTCCTCCATTTGATTATTTTTGTGTTATTTTTGTGGGTTATTCCCTAAAAAAAATAATTGTGCTATGGCAAAAACGTGTTAAGCGGGCACGTGTTAAATGAGTAATTATTGTACTGAACAGAAGGGACAAGAGAATTTCATACACAAAATTGTCTTCTCCCAGCCTGAGTGCATCTGGGCAAGATCTGGGTTTTTTTTTTCCAGAGAATGATTGTTATGGAAAAGACGGTAGGAAAAGGACTTGGCAGCAGTTACTATTCATGGCTTGGCACTTTGTGTCTCAACAACCAAGATTGTATTTCAAAGGTGCCTTTCAGGTCTGATTGCTGGGGGCTGGGTATTTCATCACTGTCACTTTCCCTATTTCTCACTCCCCACCCTTTTTAAAATTAGACTTCCTTGCCCTTGGATTGGGTTTGAGGAGATCTTTACTATTTTAATGCCATTTAAAATATTTTCAGATACAATCTCCAGAGCCTTAACTGGGGAAACAGCCTCTATTATGTTAAAGGCAGAAGGGTCTATATGCTGGAGTAAGTGTAACTGAAAGGAGTACAGCTGAAAGAAGAAGAGGCCAAAGGAACCGGGAAGGCTAAAGGTAGGCAACACAAAATAACAACTCCAAGGGAAGGTACAAAATAGCTAATATAAGCATGATTCTATTTTATTATATTCTGCACAGGTTCTTATTCCACTCTGGTTGCTATAGTATCTGAACTGGGGAGAGGGTGGGAGGTGGACAGACTTGCTGGGCCCCTGGGCAAATCCTGGAAGGGGCAGAGCAACCAGCCCTCAGCACCATCCAGAGCATGCCACACTGGCCCTCCCCCCCCCCCCCCCCCCCCCCCCTCCAAGCTTTCTGGTTTCCTTAAGGGCCCAGGGCTCCAGCCGCTGCTACAGCAGCAGTGGTAGTTGGCAGCCCCACACCCCTTTGAATCACTAGGCCCCAAGGCAACTGCCCCTTTAGCCCCCCACTGTTGACAGGCCTGTATCTGAGTAATGTCCAGCTGTGGATGAGAAACAAACACAAACATTCCTAGTCAGAATACACCTACTTAGAAAGACACAAAGTCTAGCCCTCACTGACCGGAGGAAAGAGAAAAAAACCTATAATCCTTGTATTTACTTTATAGTTCTGGGAAGTGCTCAGAGACCATGGCGATGGTCTCTGTATTAGGAGGAGGAATGTGGCAGCAAGTTTACTCAGGTCTTGTGAAGCACAAGGCTGAATGTACTCTTCCTACAGCAGGAGATAAAGAGGAGGAACTTCTTGCCATGCCCTTTAGAATCAGCATCCCAAGCCAAAACTCAGAAAGACCCTCACAGAAGTGAAGTAAAAGACTCCCACCAAGAACCAAAAAGCAATTAAACACAATTATTTCTATTTGTTTATAGGAAAGGGAAGAGGAAGTAAATAATTAACATTCAGCTGAATACAGCCTTTATGAAGGAGCTGATCTCCATATTATTTTGCTTTTTGTTTATGAGACGTGTCTTGAAATTTGAAGGGCAGCACTTCAGGCATTCCTTGGACATTGGAACAATTATCTCATTTTATAAGCACAAGTTTCAGACTTTGCACAATAGCAAAAGAAAATTCTAAGTTTCCTCTTGGGATTCCTCTTGAAAAGCCAGGTTTGATTGCTGTGGATAAGTATTATCCCATTTTACAGATGTGCAAACTGAGGCAAGAGCTTTAGGACTACTGGGCTGTGTCTAGATTGCATCCCTTTTCCATACAAGGGATGCAAATTAGACACAGCGCAATTACAAATGAAGCGGGGATTTAAATCTTCCCTGCTTCATTTGCATAAACATGGCTGCCGCTTTTTTCCGGCTCAGGGCTTTGCCAGCAAAAAGCGCCAGTCTAGACGGGGATCTTTCGGAAAATAAAGCCTTTTCCAAAAGATCCCTTATTCCTGATTTTAAGAGAAACAAGGGATCTTTCGGAAAAGGCTTTATTTTCCGAAAGATCCCCGTCTAGACTGGCGCTTTTTGCCGGCAAAGCCCCGAGCCGGAAAAAAGCAGCAGCCATGTTTATGCAAATGAAGCGGGGAAGATTTAAATCCCCGCTTCATTTGCAATTGCGCTGTGTCTAATTTGCATCACTTTTACGGAAAAGGGATGCAATCTAAGCACAGCCCTAGAGTTTAAATGGGATAAAATACAACATCTGTGGACTTACATGTGAAGAAGGAGGAAAATAAGAGCTGTACTGAGAAATTAAGGGATAACGCAAGAATGACAGGTATGTTGGGTTACAAGAAGGGACCATATCTTTATTTGCTTTGCAAGGTACATGATATATTTCTGATTGCTTGAAAGTTAATAGTGAGCTCCAAATTGTGGCTTACCTGCTCCTATATACTGGGCATCACTGTTAACAGAAAAATGGTGACCTGCAGGGTTGGCTCTACCTGCCTTATTGTAACATTGTTCCTACTTTGCTCAGGGTGTTGGACTTGATGATGTCTGGAGGTCTCTTCCAACCCTATGAGTCTATGATGGTAAAATTAGGGAACATACCTCACTAAATACTATCAGGGCATGTCTACATGAGGAAATCATTTTGAAATAACTTATTTTGAAATAATAACTCCCAAAATAACAATTTTGAACTAAGCGTTATTCCTCATGAAAAGCAGGAGTTATTACTTTGAAATAACCAGCCCGCTATTTCAAAATAATGGGCTTGATAGTGTGGATGCTCCACTTGTTATTTTGAAATAAGAGGAGTTATTTCAAAATAGACCAGGGCCATGTGAACAGTGTCGCTATCTTTCCTGTAATGTAAATGAAGGCAGAATTTTGTTATCTAATAGATGGTGACCATATCAGGAACTGCAATCATGCTGCATCGGATAGCAGAGTAGCTGATGACTCTCCTCATTCATTTCAGACTCATTATTGAAGAGTTGCCAAAGATAAATGCGTCCAAGATGCAATCAGGCTTGGGTAAGTGGTCTTAGTTGATATGCTCTCAGGCTTCCGGCTACATATAGGGAAGATGGAACTTTTAGAATAAAGAGAGTTAATGGCTTTTGGCAGTGTGTAAGCTTATAACACTTTGAAATGATGGGGCAAACAATCCAGCAATTGAGAACGTAATCCCACTGGAAGCATTATCTTGGTTACCAACCTGTTTAAAACAATAGATTTTGCGCTCTCATGTTTCAAACCCCAGGGCTAGACAAGCTCCCATGCAAAGGATGCTTGTGGAACAATGTGAAATAGAAACTATTTGAATATGTTCCCTTTATTTCAAACTCTCCAGATGGCTGTTGTGAAAATGGTAAAGGATAATCCTGCCAAGGTCCCAAATCTCATCTCAAAGTACACGGCTGTGTCTACATTGGCACCTCTTTCCGGAAAAGGGATGCTAATGTAGCACTTTGGAATAGGCAAATCCACGGGGGATTTAAATATCCCCCGTGATATTTGCATTAACATGGCTGCTGCTTTTTTCCGGCTTGGAGATAAGCCGAAGAAAAGTGCCAGTCTAGACGTGATTCTCCGGAAAATAAAGTCTTTTCCGGAGGATCTCTTATTCCTACTTTCAAGCGGCCAGTCTAGACGTGATTCTCCGGAAAATAAAGCCTTTTCCGGAGGATCTCTTATTCCTACTTTCAAGTAGGAATAAGAGATCCTCCGGAAAAGGCTTTATTTTCCGGAGAATCACGTCTAGACTGGTGCTTTTCTCCGGCTTATCTCCAAGCCGGAAAAAAGCGGCAGCCCTGTTAATGCAAATACCGCGGGGGATATTTAAATCCCCCGCGGATTTGCCTATTCCAAAGTCTACATTAGCATCCCTTTTCCGGAAGGGATACCAGTGTAGACACAGCCCACATGTATCAGATGCACAACCAAAAGCTGCCATGGACTTTAAACATTTATCTAGAATAAAAGACTGAGTGGACAAAAATGTTACTGGAGTCTCAAAACAGAGTAAAGAAATGCAATTTAATGTGGCACCAGTCCCAGTAATCTGAATGGGATGCATAGAAGTTATGTGGCTAAATTCCATGGATCTCATTGAAAATGAATAGTACCGTATTTTCTGGCGTATAAGGCTACTGGGCGTATAAGACGACCCCCTAATTTTTTAGTTAAAAGATAGGGTTTCGTCTTATACCCCAGCGCCCCTCCGCCTCCCCGGCTTTGCTCCCGGTGTCCCTGGTCTGCCGGAGACAGTCCCCAGCAGACCAGGGACACCGGAAGCAAAGCATCTGAAAGGACGCCCCGGCAGCGGGACAGCCCCGGCGCGCCTGGGCTGCCCCGCCGCCGGAGCCCCTCCACGGCTTTGCAAAGCCTCGGGGGAAGCCGGCGGGGGTAGTTCAGACTAGGCTTCCTAGTCCGAACTACCGTTACTCCTCATTCCACAAGGATGCCCCGCCTGGGATGCCCCCCCGCCGGCTTCCCCCGAGGCTTTCAAAGCCGCGGAGGGGCTCCGGCGGGCGGGCAGCCCATGCGTGCCTGGGATGCCCCGCCGCCGGCTTCCCCCGAGGCTTTGCAAAGCCGCAAAGCTGTATACCCGGCGTATAAGACAACCCCCGATTTTTGGGGGATGTTTTTTAACATCAAAAGTCGTCTTATATGCCGGAATATACGGTATTAGGCTTATAATGTTGAAGATTGGACTAAATCACTAATTTAGGGGAGGTCCTGATCCTTGGGAGGTTTTGAGGTGCTGAGTTGTTGCATTGAAATGAAGGGGACTATACATATGTGAATAAAGTCATATTTCTGCTTAAATGCTAGTCTGAAAATAATTAAAAACATGTTAGTATGGGTATAATATACGGCTATGTCTAGACTGGCCAGTTTTTCCAGAAAAATCAGCTGCTTTTCTGGAAAACCTTCCAGCTGTCTACACTGGCCGCTTGAATTTTGATCTCATGTAAGATAGTCAGTGTTTTTGCGGAAATACTATGCTGCTCCCGTTCGGGCAAAAGTCCCTTTTGCGCAAAACTTTTGCGCAAAAGGGCCAGTGTAGACAGCTGAGATTTGTTTTCCGCAAAAAAGCCTCGATCGCGAAAATGGCGATCGGGGCTTTTTTTGCGGAAAATCGCGTCTAGATTGGCGCAGACGCTTTTCCGCAAAAAGTGCCAGTCTAGATGGTTTAAACCAGGGGTCAGCAATCTAGGCACACATGCCATAAGTGGCAGGCAAGATGATTTTCAGCGGCATGCGCAATGAGAGCGGGGCGGGGGAGAGAAAGCCCCAAGTCTCCCCACCAGATCTGGTGTGTGGGAAACACTAAACTCCCCCACCCCTCCGGCTCCTCGCCCTTTCCTTTCTTCTCTTCTTCTTTCCCTCCCGCCCACAGGGAACACGGGCGGCTCCCTGGGCGCTTTGCCGACTGCAGGCAAGATGATTTTCAGCGGCATGCGCAATGAGAGCGGGGCGGGGGAGAGAAAGCCCCAAGTCTCCCCACCAGATCTGGTGTGTGGGAAACACTAAACTCCCCCACCCCTCCGGCTCCTCGCCCTTTCCTTTCTTCTCTTCTTCTTTCCCTCCCGCCCACAGGGAACACGGGCGGCTCCCTGGGCGCTTTGCCGACTGGCAGCCTCCTGCTCCGGCTGCGCTGCTGCCTCCTCCATCGCCAGGCGGCCGCTTGGTTTTACAGCAGCAGGGTGGCTGGGTCCAAGGCAAAACCCCCCAGGGCCTGCTCCTGTCTTGGACCTGCCACTTCAGACCCAGAAGGGGCCGGGCTGGGGCGCTGCAAGGCC